CATAAAATGAGCAAAAGAGACTTTTCAAAATCTGTAAAAAAAAAACAAACAAAAAAAAACTTAATTTTGAACTTTTGGCCAGCAGTATGTATGTGTACATATTTGATATATTATACATTTTGAATGGTCAATTCAATAATAAAAAAAATGTCAATGGAAAAAGATGGACTATATAGACCAGGGGTCCTCAACTCTAGACCTTGAGATCCACTTTCCTGCAGAGATTAGCTCTAACCTGGATTAAACACCTACCTGCAACTTTGTAGTGATCCTGAAGACCTTGATTAGCTTGTTCAGGTGTGTTTATTTTAGGGTTGGAGCTAAACTCTACAGGAAAGTGGATCTCGAGGTCCAGAGTTGAGACTAACAGCCTATGCTAACCAGCTTAAGTAACTGCTTGGACAAGCCCTCTGGAGCAAACCAGGGTTAAATGCATTACCCCAGAGCACAATCGCGATGTAACCAATGTGATCTAGGTAACAATGTAGTCCGTGGGTCATCAGCGATCAACCGTTATGCATGCAACTCTGTGGTTCATCTCAGTGCGTTAATGCAGTGACACAACAGGATGGAAGAGAAGACGACGACCATACATTAGTAATGAATCAAAGTGTGTGCTGAACCCAAATGGGCCTTTAATGCACATGGCAGCCAAGCACTGGCTGATCCCATGGCTGCCAGAACTTTCACATGCTGTCAATTATTAACTGATCTATGTTAATGGACACACTCTGCACTGGGATCAGATGGGTGTGTAGTGTTGCTGAGAGCATGTAAAAACTTTTATCATTACTTAGCCTCTCAATACCTTTCCCCCCCACCCCACACACACATACAGATATAAGAGCTCGAAGTTGCACGAGGCCCATCAGTTGGCATAAAAGGAAAAACTTGGTCTTGCACTGTAAAGTATTACATATTTACTGTTCAAAAGTTCGGGGACTTTTTTTTTTCTTTTATTTTTTTTTAAATACGAAAATGTATTAGGCAAGGATGTATTAAAATGATCAAAAGTCACAGTTAATATATGCTGTTCGTCTGAATTTTCTATTCATCAAAGAGTCCTGAAAAAAAGTATCACTTTTCCACTAAAAATTTAGCACAACTGTTTTCAACATTTATTATAAGAAATGCTTCTTTAGCACCAAAACAGCATATTGACTGACAAGACTGAAGACTGAAAATTCAGTTTTGCATCACAGGAATAAATTACCATTTAAAATGTATTAAATTAGAAAAGTTATTTTAAAATGTTAATAATATTTCCCAACATTACTGTAATTACCGTTTCAAATGAATGCAGCCTCTGTGCGTATGAGATTTTTATCAAAAACAAATTCTTAGCGACCCCAACATTTTGTTTATAAATGTAAACAAACATCCTTAAAATAAGATACATTAAGATTAAGAATTGTTTTCAGACAATGTATATCTGACATTTGCAAATTTTTTCCCCGTTTTAAATCTAATTAAACAAAATAGCAAATAAAAAGCAAATCAATAATTATTTAAGTTTATACTTTAAAAAACCAAAAAAAAACTAAACTGTAGATGATATATATCGCACACCGCTAAGTCATAGTAGCTTTGTGTGACAAAAATGATCAAAGTCTTCACAGAAAAACCTTTAGATTTCAAATGTCCAGGCAAGGTAATTGAATTACACCCTTCCATCTGTAGACTATAGGATAACAGACGCCTCTGCTCTCATAAGCACTTAAATCAAGTCAGTGGTAGAATTATGGTCACTTGCGCACTGTGAATGAAATTATACTACAGTTGTGAAGAGGTTGAATATGGTTCGGAGTCTATCTAGTGTGATTCTCCATCTCCAATCCCACCCACCCCCACTCGTTCAAGGGCCTATTAGCAGGCAGAAGGGCAATGTAAAGAGGCATGTTAACATTTGCTTAATTGCTGATTTTCTGTTGTGTGACCAGATCACAGGTAATCAATTTGTACTCTAGCATTGGCACAAAACATCATTTAATTTCATATACAAAATTACACTACAAGCTCAGAGAGAGTTATTTTAAAAGTTGTACACATGGCATTACTATTGGTCTTATTGCAAATAATTTACATTTTAACACGGCTTTGCGCTTTTATATGTCAAAAAGATGGATTTGTATCTTATACAGTAATTGATTGTACTGTATATCTCATAATTGTAACTTTTACATTTAAAAATAGCTAAATTATTTCTCCTAATTATACTTTTATATCTCAAAATTGTTTCTGTGCTTTATTTCTTGTAATTGCAACTTTATATCTAGCGATTGTGGCTTCATATCTCGAAACTGTGACTTTACTTCTTGTAATGGTGTCTCTACATCTCGCAGTTTCAAACTTTACCTCACAGTTAACTTAATAGAGTTACATATATTGGCGTCAGCAAAATATGTAGACTAAAAATGAAACAAAAAAATGGCAACTTTTTCAGCAACTTTTTGTATGTCTGCTACTACAGCCTACTCAGACTTACGTCTTTCTCTTTCAACTGCTGTAAAGCTTTATATTATCTAACTAAAATGGCACTGCAAATGGAACAGGCTTTACTGACTTCAACTGCAGACTATTTCAGAATGTCTGCTGAAACACCCCTGTCTTTCAGGTCTAGGAATTCTTTAAAAAACACGAAAATAGAAGCTTTGCTTTGTTATAAGTCCCTCCATCTCAGTCAGATTGCTACGTTGCTTGCTCTAGAATGGTGATATGGGATTATGATGAATACAATTGGATTAAAATGTACTTTAAAGGCTACTTTTTCATCATCATGTTTCCTTGGGGTCAGCAGGATTTTTTTTTTAGGATTTTTATATATTTTTTTATTCAGCAAGGATGCATTAAATTTATCAAAAGTGTCAGAATTGTTTTAACATTATAAATGTCTTTACGATTTCAAAAGAATGCTATTCTTTTGAACATTCTATTCATTAACAAATTTTTTACAAAAATATTAAGCTGCACGACTGTTTTCAACATTGATAATAAGAAATGATTCTTGAGCACCAAATCAGTATATAAGAGAGATTTCTGAATTCCATTTTAAAATAGGATCACAATATTACTGTTTTCTACTGTGTTTCCATCAAATAAATACAGCCTGGATGAGCCAAAAAACAATGACACCATAGCCTCATGTAGCGTCTGGACCAATCAGACACCATTTTTCATTTGATTTAACAAATCAATTATTCATTAGATTAACAAACATTCACAGACCCCTCACCCAATAAACATACTGGGTGCCAAGATGTCTGGGAACGAGGCCTAGGATCCTGGTTACCATGGCAACCCTGACGCCTTTGCTAGACCAGAGAGATTTTACGACCTAATGGCATGTTGAGTCACCCCTCTCACTACAATTTCCATAGGAAATCCACAGTGCACAGTAAAAATGTACTCTTCTCTAATTAATTAATAGGAAAACCTTTCTTTGAATGAACACACATATCCTTCAGGTCATTGTGTATATTATTGCTGTCTTGTATATTATCTGTTGTATTGTAGACTAGTTTATGCATGCTTATGATAGAACCACTCATTCATGTAACCTTACATATAACGTGTTTGGTCTCTATTAATTCGTATTCGGATGATCTAATTGAGAGTGTATATTGTATGTTTATACCTATGCAACATATTAGTGTTCTAAGAATCTTTATTAGTTTGTGCATCAACACCCCAAGCGAATTACATATGCAAATTACCATGCCCTCACATAAAGGGTCGTAAAACCCTCCAGCAATTGCAACCTTTACTGCGCTAAGCTTTAACCCTTTCCTATACAAACTGTATGTGTGTATGTATGTGTATGTTAGGCCAGTTTAAGTGTTTATGTAGTTAATAAAGTCTTACTTGTATCACACTTGACGTTGTTCATTGTTTGCTCATAACTGGAGTCACTTAATCATGCAGATTTATGCTACAAGCTCTTTGTAGAATTGTGCAGTAAGAAAGTTATTTCCCTTAACCAGGAAGTTAACGTTCTTAGAATTGACAGACAGTTGACCCCGAGAGGTCAGCTAAATATCTACAGCGGATCTAAATATTTATAATTAATTATAACTAGTTATGATTAATTATTCATATTTCCCCATGAGCTGATTCGCTACACTCACCATGTGTCACTAGGACATGCATGTACACAGTGTGAAATGTAACAATCATTCCCAGTCTCCCAGTCATTCCCAACTGGATTAAAGCCTACATACCTCAGTTTCAAGTTTACAAAAAGTGTCATTCCAGTCATAATACAAGGTAAATGTCTCATGGTTAGAGGTGAATCCTGACAGGAGATTCAATAGCACTTAATCCTGCTGATCGAACTTTTACTCTTCCGGATTAGAGATGCCTCAATCTTTCTCTCTCCAGCTGGGTGGAATGGATTGGCCTTTTCGTACATTAACTAGCTTGTGTTTTATTTATAGGCAGAGCCAAATTACACCTTGAATAGATCTGAGCAAACATAATCACTCATTCAGATTGGAATGCAAATTACTTGCTCAAAAAAAACAGAAAGGTTAAGTTTTTTTTTCTTTTTCCCCCAGAAGTGATATTTGGAAAGTTGTATTCGCATGTCATGATCTTGTATGGTGGATTGTATTTCATTTCAATCTAAGAGCGGCTGTGCTGCTGGAACTCTCATGCATTTTTAACAAGTTACTCAGAATCCCTAAAGTAATACAGAGTTAGCATGAAGGCAGAGAGCACTCTGACATCTGTGCTACACTGTTCGATGCCAATTATATAGAAATTAACCTGATACAATCAAATTGAGATGGCAGAAAGATACAGATAAATGGTACAAATTCTATATTTTATTTATTTTTGAGCTTATTAATCACACATCGGCTTCAATAAGATCAACGAGTGCTTGCGTAAACATGATTTATCATAATTAGCATAAACTTGGTTTGCACTTTTAAAGTCAACAAAATCAAAACATTAACCCAATTTACTTTCTTAATACATACAAATTGTGTTTTTGTACTTTTCTTTCTTAGCATTACATCTCTTGCTCACCAATGGATCCTCTGCAGTGAATGGGTGCCGTCAGATTGAGAGTTCAAACTGATAAAAACATCACAATAATTCACAAGTAATCCACACAACTCCAGTCCATCACTTAACGTCTTATGAAGTGAAAAGCAGTGTGTTTGTAAAAAAACAAATCCAGCATTAAGCTGTTTTAACTTTAAACTGTGGCTTCAGGCCAAAAATTTCCATAATAACGTTTCCTCCAGTGAAAAAGTTCATCCCCTGTCGTCCTCTCACATCAAAATCCACCGACATATTTGTTTAGAACTATTTTGGTTTGTAATCAGTGCTTGATCTGTGCATATTTCTCTCCTGATTCAGATGAGACGACTTGCAATATTATTGATAGAGGACTCATATTTTTGCAGGTAACAATGGTTTATAGCTAAAAACGTCTTAATGATGGAGTTAAGCTGTTTGGACTCTCATTCTGATGGCACCCATTCACTACAGAGGATTAATTGGGGAGTAAGCGACGTAATGCTAAATTTATCCAAATCTATTCTGATGAAGAAACAAACTCATCTACATCTTGGATGGCCTGAAGGATAGTACATTTTCAAAAAATTTAAAGTCTTACAGTACAGTATCACATTAATTATGCTAGATATACAATCAAGCCTCCAAAAATGATTAATGCATGGATGGCACACATGGATTGTGTTCCTCCAAGCTAGCGATCCCTAGAGGTATGGCCCACTTATATGCACTGAAACAGCCTCTGACGCTTGCTACTACATCAAGCTAACCTCTAGATCCAGTGAAACTTGCTGGTTTGAGCTTTTATATATATATATATATATATTTTTTTTTTTTTTTTATTTA